CACATCTGCCTTCTTGATGCTTAGTATACGCCTTTTCCATTTGCAATGGTATTCAGGACTCAAATCCCAGTTATCCATTCCTTGAGAGTAAGGCAGACTCTTGTCATAATATTACATTGTAGTCTTTCCAAAGATAATGAGGTGACTCTTGTTGCGTTTCAAAACAGTGTGACCAAGATGAGGATTTGATCCAGCAGATACACTCTTCCGGAAGTACTGAGGTACTTGCAGCTATTTGATATTGAGCTGTTTTGAGAGATGGAGAAATTGAGACCTCAATTGAGAAATAAATAGGCAAGGCCTTTGAAAGGAATTTAATAGAGACATCTAACACTTGCAGAGAAGCATGAAACTCTCCTGCCAAAATGAAATTGGGTTCATGAAAGGTCACAGTTAGCTTTTAAAGTAAGTTTTTGCATGTCTGCAGAGCAAATATTGCATTAAAGATAAGGGTAGAGTCTCTGTTTTACTGATAATGCTCCAAGTTCCCTTTTTTCCTCCAAATTTTGATATAGCTTCCTGCGAGCTAAGCAGCCAGCCTGCTAGATCTGACTTTTGCTTTGGTGCTATATAGTGACATACCAAACTAGGAAGGCATCATGCAGTAAGTAAAAGAACCATAAGCTTCCAAAATAACAGGAAAATACTTTTTTTATTATTGTTTTATTGCTGGCATTTAAGTCCTGCATCAGTTTTTCTGAAACCATTGTGACATGGGTAACAATCCCAAGTTGGCTTTACTGTGAAGCTAATTTTGCCTTTATAAGCACAATCACTTACAAATTTGGGAAAGGGTCTAAAAAGGGCTGCATATATCTTTAAGTATATATAGATATCCATGTAGATAGGTGTATAGATGTCTATACATGTATATCTATCTATCTATCTATCTATCTATCTATCTATCTATCTATCTATCTTCACATATAGGTATATGAAGCATTTATAACCATACTTTAGTCCATCCTAAACTCCCACCAGAAGTGCTGTCCCACTGAATTTGATGTCACACAAACAAGTGATTTCACATATGGCACAATGGATGGAAGGTGGAATCCTCCAGTGGAGAGAAGAGTTTAAATACACCCTTGGGGCTGGCAGCTAAAGCAAAACAGATGCTTGCCCTGGTCTGCTGAAGCTGATCTGCTTTAGGAGGTGTCCATCCTTCGCCATGAAGCTCCTTCCCCACCTTAGCCCCATACAGTGCCAAATTACAATACCCTCTGAAGTGAGGTTTGCACGCTGCTGTGGTAACAAGACTTGGCAGGTCAGTTACTGTTTCAGACCCCTTCTCCATCCAGCTATGCTGGATACTAACAGCAGAGAGGCAGTAACAGCCAGGACTCTGCACGACCCCCAGGGCCATGGGACCTGCTGGCTGCTGCAGCCCATGTTGCTGTGGACTTGTTGTTCCCCACGTCCTGAGACAACTTGCTCCCTGCTGGCTCCGAGGTGCCAGTGCCACAGCAAGCCCCACTGTGGCTGCCCTTCGGCTGCACCAAGTGCAGCACCAGCCATGCCTGCTGTTCACTAAAGAAGCAAAACTGGAAGAATTGCAGAATTGGACAGCCTCACTTTCTCCAATAGGCTTGTGGGGCACCCCTGCCCCTGTTACTACCTTTGGTATATCTCAGCTAACCTGTTGTAGGCTGATGTATGAACCTGCAGCTACCTCCTTCCTGGGCCATGATCTTAAAAGCTCATGAAGAGGAGCAGCGGCTGCCTTACACCCCGTGACCCAACCTGTGACAGCCTACAGCCCGGACCCTGAGGTCGGAACACTTCCCTGCCATGTCATGTCGACACAGCTGCAGCGAGGACCAGCTGGCCCTGGATCAGGGGACATTTGGGCTCATGAGCAGCACATAGTGACTGGGCAGAGGCTGCGGCCAGGCGGAGGGGGCCCCAGCTTGCTCTGAGCCTGCAGACACTCCTCTGGGCCACTTGAGCTGGGGTAATTCATAAAAAAGTGATGGTGTCATTCAGGTCATATGGAAAGTTTGGGTTTGGAAAACTGAGATAGCCCTTGCTGAATATTGGGATGTACTTGTATTTGCTTAAATAGAGGCCTGGAGGATGTTAGTCATTGAATAACACAGCAGAAAGAAATGCAGGAAAA